CAAATTTGAGCACAAATTGCACAATTCTCTATAAATGCGGAAAGTGTGGCGAATGCAGTTGGGTTTTGGGGAGGGCGTGCCTCATCGGGGAAGAACGTCCAGATTTCGCGGCCGCTTTGGAACCGTCTAATTATCTCCTCGTTTGGAATGCAAGAACTTAAACATAAAGTCGCTTTGCAGGCCACATCGGGCGTGCTTTGTGGCTTATGCCAAGCCGGATAATCTTCCATTTTCGCATGGTAAAGGATAAACTACATACAGCATGTCATAAATACACAAAAATATATTTTATTATATCCCTAAATTTTTTTTTAATGTTTTGTTTTTGCATCAATTTGCAACTTAATTCTTGATTTTTATAAAATTTATTTGTTTTGTTTTGAAACATGTAGTATATAATGTACTAAATACAAAATGAGAAACGCTAAGCAAGTTAGCAATCTTCTTTGTAGTCATTCCTCGCACGGCGCACGTTTTCTAATCCTTTCGCCGCTGTGCCGCCATAATTGCGCGCGTTTGCGTGTAATTCCTTAAAATTAAGCGATTTTCCGGTGTTATGATTCGCTGTTCTTTGCGCCGGCCGGAAAATTATGCCAGCGTATAAAATTTAATTGTTCTGTTAATAGAAGTGAATTTCTTGTCGCATAAACGTCGCCCATAAACCAGACAGTCAGCGAAGCGTCGACCGACCAAATTGCTTTCGATATACGCCACCCTCCACTCCACACCCGCAACACCCAAAGGATAGAACGGCTAAATGAGGATGGACGCGCGGCAGTTTCTCTCGGGGATTACCAGGACGCTCTCGTCTCTCTTCTCGCGCGCTAATTATCGCCTCCCGATGATGAGTTTAAACCGGCTCGCGAACGACGTAATTATCCGGAGATGCTACGCCCTAGCACGCCATCACGAGTCATTCACATTCGCTGTCATAATTTAATCACAGCAATTAATTTTGTTTTTATCTACGCGCAAAATCAAGCCGGAGTAGGATAATAAAAATTTAAATGTTTTAACAATATAAAATTAATTGTTTTTGTATTTATTATAGAAGCCTATGGCATAAAAAATAAAAGTATGGTGTTTTTGAGTTTCGGTTGAATAAAGAAGTTTTAATGGATCATTTAATATGAATGCGGGTTAATGTAAACGGTTTGTTTAATAGCAAACTTTAGTTTTAGCCGTAATGAATTATTAATACGGGTTAGATTAGTATTTCTAACGTAAAGTAAACAAAAACCGAATTAACAAGCATTAAATATGTAAAAACACATTAGTTTTTTGCTCATATGTGAATTATATATCTTAGATAAGTATATATAATATAGTACTAAAAATATGTTAAATATTAAAGTGGTTAACCGAGTTTCTAAAGCGTAATTCATGACTATCTAGACTATCCTGGCAATTACGCTCGCCATCGATACCATTTTCATGCATACTAATGCCCGGCGCCTCCACTTGCGTCCGCATATAGGTTGCGTCGCAATGACGCCTTGGGGAATGCGGCCGACACACGTTGAATAATGCTCAAGCACTACGTTAACAATGTCCGGAAAGCTCGACGTTTAATGTGATGCATGTACATTTACCAACGATCAACATTTTGTAACTGCGCTTCTGTGCTTATAAAACGTCAAAAAAATTAATACAAAAACATCAACAAAAAATATTGATTTAATCAATTATTAAATTATTGATGGTAGATATTTGCTAAAGCTTCATATGAATTTAGTATTATTTTAATATTTTTCCGCGTAAACAACTTTCAATATTATTTTTGACGTTCAATTTTGCACTGCGCAATATGTATTATGAAGAGGGAATATTTTTGTTCACTATATTTGAATGCGTTATTTGTGAAGTGCAAATAAAATATTCAAAATGAATTTTTACGCATTATTAGCGTATAAATGTAGCAGCAAAATGAATTTTACAGATGACGATGATTGAAGTCACAAACAGACATAAATGCCAAACGAAAACCTTAAAAAATTAAATCATTATTGAACATCATAATTTTCCAAAGTTAAATGCGGTCAATTAGGAAGTTACAATTCTTGGCATCGTGGTTTGAGTAATATTTAAAAAAGTTTTGGCTTCTCGTTACGCACGACCATCTCTTTCGACTTTTTACTTAAACAAAAACTTGATGGTTTTCCCAAGTTCTAGAGTACTCTAGACAAACGTTTAAAACTTTGCTAAGTATAGCGTGGAAGCGTAATTATAAAATTTTCTATAAATTATGCAACGCTGCGGTAATTACGACAACGACGATTTTTTATGTTACACGACACGACACAAAGCGCATTAATTAAGCATCAATAATTAATGCGACGACATTTATTACTCCAGTTGATGACGCTTTCGTATTAATCAAACTTGACATTTTTAGTTGTTCTGTGTTTTATTGATGTAAGCAAATATTTCCTCATTTCACTCGGAATGTCTTTGTTGGATGTTTTGGTTCTTCATTTCCTGATGGTGCGCGTCATTTTTCACCCTTGCTTGGGTTTATTTTTGCTCTCGTCGCTTTGTATTTACATCACGCTGCACACCTTCGTTGGCAAAAAGTAAACAAAAACCGGTAATGCTCAGACAAAGGTGCAGCGGTGCGCTTGGCAGGTTTGAGCTGCTCGCTAAACATTTGGTGATGTTTCACAGTTCACACTCGGATTGATTTACGCCGGCGCTATTGCCGCGAGGAAAAACAATTCGATACGATGAAAAGTGCCGAGTGTGCAGTTGGCGTGCGCGCTCGTCGGGAAACTACTTGCTGCTGGTCAGTGCACGAGTTTCTTCTTCAGCGAATACCCGCATTCAATTGATTGAAGCGTGAAGCAGAAATATGATCACTGATGATGCCGACCGGGCTGCTGCAATTGATAAAGGCTTTTTTGTCTATTAATCTTACTTCAACGTGCATTTAGGTTTTTATTTTTGTCTAGTAGAGGTAATTTTCACGTTTTACGGAATTAAAAACGATTAAATGTTTTGGTGGTGTTTTTGAGGTTGGTGTTTTTGAGGTTTTTGAGGTTCTGAGGTTGTTCTTCAGAAATAACCAATAATGATTACTTTTCAGTAAAAACACTTAATAAAATCGAATATGTTATTATTTTACTGTGGTAATGATAATCCATATATAAAACAAAGTTGTGATAGTTACACCACGTATAACTCAAGAACGGCTCGACAGATTTTGATTATTTTGATTATATAATTTGTTGAGTTTTTCTTGGCCCCAAATAGCAGAATAATTATTGACATATTGTACATTTTGATTTAAAGAGAATCAAATTAGAAATAAAAATTTGTATTGAAATCCAATTATAATTATAGCTAAATAATTGAACACGAGATGGCGCTAAAGTGCATTATTAGCATTCTCATTTATTTAAAATTAAATTGCAAATTATGTAGAGAGAATCCACACATTATAGCTCCAAGAAAATAAAAATTAATTACATTTTTACTAGAAACCACGAGGTCAAAGTCTAAGTTTACTACAAAACATGTTATTTCTCTGTTATTTAAGGTTATGTTTAATAAAAAAGCATGAAAATAAAGTAATAACCTAAAAGCACATTGTATTGATTAATTTTCATACAAAAAAATTCTTGATTTATTAATAAACCGTTCATTTCTAACGTTGATCAAATGAGTTTCAATACCAGACTAAGCAAAAGTGATTGACGTTTAATTATAGCGATTGAAATTGCTATTTGAATAACGCAAAAGAACTTGTTTGAAGTGAGCGATGTGAATATTTACTGTTTACTCGCATTTTTTCCTTGATTACTAGCGCGTGCGGAAAACAAAAGAAAATATTGCTCGCTTTAGTATTTGACATTACGATATTATGCTTCAATCAACGTTGCATAAAGCATTTTTCGCGTTTCCCTCGGTTTCAACTCTTTAGTTACAAAGCAATCTTTTCGCATGTGAAAATACTCTCAACTCTTTCCTCAAACAAGTGTGCTTGAAGCAAAAGCCGCACGTTTTCTCGTTCGTCGGTACGTTGTCTGCGGGAGGAAATTTTTTAATCAGACCAAATGAAGAGGATAAGCCGCACGTTCAAGGAGCCATCGAATTCTTCAGCGGTCGTGCACATTGCAAACTTTTCGTCACAATCAAGTAGGAGGAAGCGAGCAACATGACAACATTCCTTTCGCATCGTAATCTTTTGAACACGACTACGCTCTGTGTAGAGGTATGCGATACGTATACCGCGGTTTGTGAACATCTTCGTAACCTTTAAATTATTTCATAAGGTTGTTGCCGGTCCTTTCGTGCGCAATTTCGTAATTTCCCAAGAAATTCGAAGCGCTGCAAGAGAGAAAAAAATCAATGATGTTAGCGAACGATATGAGATCATCGCTTTAATGCTTTTATCGGATATGAGATAAAGTTCATTATGTAAATTGAATGTGAAGTTTATCTTCTAAGCTACCAACCTTTGGTTATCATATTAACCAACTTAAAAAATAAAGAAATTGGCTGGATTAATAAATACAGAAACTATTATTGGTTGTATTGTATGTAAATAAATTGCTGCGTCTGCAATACTGTGGACGCATTGTTTTTATTAAGAGGAAAAGTTCAGGCAGTGCGAGGCGAATGGCTGCAAATGAAAACTTAATATACCCACTCGATATTACGCGAAGAACTGGAGAAAATTGTTATTGCCAAAAAAGCAATTTCATCTCGCGGCATATTGCTTGCTATATACGTACTCGAACTCAAACTTCGAGCCCGACTTCATTTATTTTTATATTTCACTTTCGCTAATAACGTCTACACGAGATAATTTTCGAAAAATTTTAAATCCAATTTATCTCAAATGCGAAAACAAAAGTTTCTAATGAAAAAAATTAATTTCAACGTAATTTATGGATCCAATCATGTTCAACGCTTTAAAAATAAGTTTTTAAATTAATACCATGTAGTAGTTAAAAAAGATAATAACAGGAATGTGACATTACAGCTTGTTTTTGTTGCAGGGACGTTTGCTCGGCAAAGTCGACGCGTATTTTAGCTCGTTCCGCCGTTGCAACTATCCGAAAGTCAGTCCCCAGGGGGTCGTGGACATTGTGGAGGAATGTGGGAGATATTCCAGGTGAGATCACACTTTTTATTCCCCACCGCTTTGCACCATTAACAAAACGAACAGATTTCGCAAAAAAACATCCCACACACAGTTTATTCCACGTTTTTTTGTACAATTTGTTCGTTAATACCAGCGCTGAACAGAGTACGAGTATATTATTGCATTGTTTGATTTTCTTTGTGGTAAATTACCTTCCTAATTACATTCCGCTGCAATTCGCCGTTGTTTTTCTTCTTTGGCAAGCTGTTAAAAACGTTAGAAACAGATCCCGGCAATTTTTCTCCATTACAACCGCGCGCGCTCAATTTTCTGCCTCACTTCGTTATTAAATTATTGCTTTCCTTCCGCAAACCTGTTGTTTGCATTGTTTTCCAACCGAACAACACACTGAATTACACCCTGTTTGTGTTGTGATATTGTAAAGAAAGCGTGCAATCACTTAGGCGCCATTTAAAATCGTTTAAAATATCGTCGGCGGATTCAATTTGGAGAGGTGAGGGAAGAAATCTCAAATGGTGGGACCCTTGTCACTTTTTACAGTAAATGTGATACACAAGAGTCACTCAATAAATCTGTTTACCATCGGCATGATGGAGAGGTCCTAAATACATACTCTCTAGATACAAAGATTTTTCAATGTCATGGGTGACAGCAGTAGAAGAAGTAAAAAATAAAAATAAAATGTTTTTAGGTAGAAATACACAACTAAAAGTTATTTTTTGTATAGCAATGCCATCTAGTGCTGTCTATTTGAAATTATCTATCTGTAAATGGCGCTATCCGCAAACTATAATTTTGTTACATTTGCAACCCAATTTTTTTCAAATTTTCAATGAAAAGTAATAAGAAATTAAAAGAAAACGATGAAAATATAAAGCTAAAAATTTATTTTTGTATCGCAGCGACATCTGGTGGGGCATTTTTAAAACCTATCATCCAATAGATGGCGTTACTTTCAAAGTATAATTTTGTTCTACTTGCAATTGCATTTGATTTGATTTTAAGCAATAAACGCAAGTAAATCAAGTCAATTTAAAGTTACCTTAATATAACTTGAGTAAATTTGTTGCATAATATGTGTATAGCCTCGATCGTAGAATAACATGAGCTCAGTCTGATTTGCAAACAAGATTCTCAATCGACAGAGTTTCGATGTTCTTATTAACAAGTGAAGTCTTCCCACCGGCATACGACGTCCGCCGTCCTGAAACAACTGGTATCAGCAAGTCAAACTAGAAACTACACCGCCTGCCGCACGGATACTATAACAACCTGGCTGCGAGTCTATCCGAAGACTCAGCAAGCAACCAGAGAACATGTTATTGTACAAGATACAGTTTTCAGTCGGAACAAAAGCGGTTTATGGGTACTATAGGAGGTATTCCTTATTATTATTTTATATTTTATGTTTATTTTTATTTTGTGATTGCTTGTCATGTCAGACAAAAAGTATCTTTGCAGACGGCACATTATCTTGTCTCATGTAAGACATGCATGTAGATAATATGCGCGTGGCGGGCGGAGAAATATGACATTTGCATATTATGCGACGATCAAAACTATCGACATAACTCACAAGTTTGGCCGCGGGCTGCGGCTGCGGCGTAGCTGTCAATTCGAAAGCGTCTCAGTTTTGCGTCCCACCCCCGCGACACATGCCCAAACATGCGGCGAAGGCGTAAGCGGGCGAAATAAACTTTATTACAATTTCCACTTGTGCATTATGCGGTCGTTGGAAGTAGGATGCATCCGCGCATGGAAAATGCGCCGTCGCTTGACAACTTAAAAACTTTGCATTGAATTTAATACTTTGAGCCGACAAGGCACGAATAGTAAGTAAGTATATAAGTAGGGTTCTGTTCAAAGGAGGCGTGGAAGAAAACTTGGAATTATCAAATAGACAAGAAAAGGGTACAAAGAATAAGAAATTTTTGGAAATAAAATTTAACGCTATCTACTTATTAGCAAAAATTGCAAACATTTTGGTAAATTTTATAAAATAGATATTTTCGGAAATTATAGAATATAGTAATATTATCGTATTTTATTTCATCATTTTATTTGTATTATAATTTTAGGTGGCTAAATTTATTAACGCACTCGTAAATTTTAATTATCAATAATTAATTAACGAGTACAACTAATGCATTTTCAATCATTTGGGTCTATTATTAATTATTATGTTATAGCAGAAAATGAAACAAAATTATTTAAAAAAACAGCTGGATTCTTAAAACGAAAATCATGTGAAAAATCATAAAAAGCAGATATTTTAGATTGGATATAATATAATTATTTAAAACATGAAGACTTCGTTATATCTGTCAATATCACGTTTCCATTAAAGAATATCACTTATTGTCTGCCAACTCAACAGCGCCTAGAGTCTAGGCCCTAGACCAATTTGGCCAATTCTTTTTTTTTTTAATGTTTGTTAAAGTCCAAGGATAGTTTTTATTGCAAGAAAACTAATTTCCGAGAAAACCATAAAGACTGCCCTTTTCTGAAGAATAAGAGTTGGCATTGAGATTCAATCATAGTAGTAGTTAAATAGTTGAACCCGAAATAGCGCGCTGAAGTGCATTATTAGCAATTCTTTATGTAATTAATTTCTTTAAAAGAAAATTGCGAATCTTATTGATTGAATTGACACATTCTATGTCTAGAATAAGAGAGTAAAAATACATTTTTATTAAGCACTACCAGGACAAAGTCGCGCGTAGAAACTAGTTTTTAATAGTTTTGAATTGAAAAACTCGTGAAAAACACGATTATTTATTTTCTCTCACATTCTCTAAACAAAAAGAATAATTAAAAGTTTTAAATGTTAGGACAGATTAATCCAGGAAACGTAATTGCAAATACTTTAGCTTTGAAACGTTTGCTTATTAGACTATTTGTTCGTATAGTTTATAGTAAAATAAGCGTCATTTATATTATATGGAAATAAACTCCAAATTTATATAGATGTTAAAACACTAAATTTAGTTTCTTGCTGATATTTCACTAATAATTCGCTCGATTTATAAACCAAAAAACGTTAGACACGTTTCTAAACACCCGAGATAATTAGCGCATGTACGAGTATGTACGTGACTTTAAAAGCATTTCATTAGCAAATTCTGTATAAATGCAATCGCGCGATTACGCCAAGCGCATTCAAAATGTTCCTTTTGAGAGTGATTCCACTTTTGTGTTTATTTAGTTGTATAAGAGCTACTATTATTGGTAGTACGGGTATAATCGAACCAGTCAAAGACACACTGCTAAAACAACTAGACGATTTAATTTATTTATTATTTGGTGGTATTTGTCCAAAACACACCAAATACGACTCTCTTAAAAACCAAAAATGTCTTGCAACCAGCTACGATTACATTATCATTGGAGCAGGGACCGCAGGCTGCACTTTGGCTAATCGTCTATCAAAGGACAATACTGTAATTCTTATAGAAACTGGGGATATACCATCTGATGCTTCATTGGTATAAATATTATAAATATTTATTTTTTATATTTTAACATTATTTTTATAGATACCATTAAACTTTCTCTATCGTCAAGAAACCGAAGAAGATTATTCATTCAAAGCAAAATCCACCGGTTTATTCGAAGGTTTCAACAATAAAGAAAATGCATTTCCACAAGGCCGTGCCCTGGGTGGATGCAGCACAATCAACGCAATGATCTACGCCCTAGGTGGCTCAGCTGATTATGACACATGGGGCGACCTGGTCGATCCCATCTGGAGCTGGTCGAATGTTGAACCAATTTTCAAGAGAGTTTTCGATAAATTAAACCCCTTCTCATATCAAACATTCGTGGCAGGTTACGAAGCCCTAAAAGATGCTTCAGCTACATTAAATTGTGGCCCAGGATTTAAAGATCATTTCTTAACCATTGATAAAAAACAACAAACACGTTTCTCAATGGCGGATGCTTATATTGCACCGATTCTTACACGAAGCAATTTATGTGTTCTTTTAAAGAATGAAGTAATTAGTATTGAGATACAGGGTGGTAATAAAGCAGAAGGTGTATGGGCGCTGGATCGTCTAGGCAACAAAAGATACATAACAGCTAATAAAGAAGTTATTGTATCTGGTGGAGCTATAAATTCTCCAAAATTACTTATGCGTAGTGGTATTGGCCCAGCTGATCATCTTACTAATAAGTATATTAACGTGGTTAAGGACTTACCTCAAGTTGGAATGAATATGGAGGATCACGTGGTTGTACCATTTTATTTTAGTATAACTGACATTCCGATGATTCCACTGTCACTAATGACTACTGTTTATTGCGCTACAAAACAACTGATGAACAATATTGAAATGGCAAGTTTTTTGGGATTTTTCAATACAATCGACTGTAGTAATCCGCAACCGGATATTGAAATAATCCCATTTGAATTTTTACAATGTGATAATTATTATTTAGAACTCTACATTGAAAAGTTCAACATAGCTCCACAATATGCACAAAAACTACGAGATTACAACCAGAAGAGTGCAATATTACTGTTATTAGTAACATTGCAGCATCCTGAATCAACCGGGACAGTCACACTAAATAGTAATAAACATGATGATCCACCCATAATAGATCCGAAATATTTTAGCAAACAAAATGATGTGGATGCTATTATAAGAGGTTTTAAACAAATTATAAAACCCATGTTGGATGCTCCAGTTTTTAAAGGTCATGGAAGTAAATTGCTTCCTATGAACCCAGCCGGGGTTTGTCCTGGAGGTGACACCTTCAGCGATGACTATTTGAAGTGTTATATGAAGCAACTAGGAGGAACAATTTACCATCCTGCGGGTACCTGCCGAATGGGTAAAGATGAAGCCAGCTCGGTTGTTGATAAGGAAGGCAAAGTATGGGGCATAGAGAAATTGCGAGTGATTGATTCCAGCATTATTCCCTATCTTATAAGTGGACATTTAAATATACCCACATGTATGCTCGCTGAATTACTAGCTGATATCATCTTGAAAGTTTGAAATATTTAATAAGATGCATCAAAACTTTATCTGATATCTTGATATCTAACATGTGCAAATGGAATATTTTAGTTAATAAACTAGCGGAATTCACAGCTGAAAGTTGTGACAAATTCAAGAGTTGCATACATCACTCGTGTGTATGTTTAATTACCGTATTGCGCTCTCCGGTTGGCTTGCAGCCGAGACTAATGTAAATTGAATTTAGTTGATCAAGTAAAATAATTACTGACTCCTGACTGCGAATTTTATGTGATTACAAAACGCACGCTCGTGCGTAATTAAATTAATCACAAACTTAATTACATTCCGAAAATATCTACCAAATAGCAAGGTTAGAGAAAATGAAATTCTTAAAATTTCAACCTGGAAACCTAATAGTAGTTTGATTCGCATGTGAGACTTGCGCCTTTAATTTTGTTACCCGCAGAATAACGACCGAGATACAATCAAATCACATGTCGCGCATCTTAAGACCCTGGAGCACTCCGCAGACTAATTGAATTACACATGCGAGGAGGGTTCTGAGATGCGCGCAGATTCGCGAGCGGCGCCCAACCGAAAACATCGGCTCTAATCCGACCGCACGCGGGAAACATCGTCGGAGCTCTTTTCCGCCGTCGCCGCCGACCTCTTCGGGCCCGGAATCAACGTGTTAACTTAGATTATTAAAACGTGGCCAAAACGTACCCGCTTTTCGGAAGCCAGGGCTTATATTACACGCGCATTCATACGTAAACGGTTGCGGGAGTTGAGATTGTGGTGGCTTTCGGGACGCCAACCCTTTTGCTTGTATGGACTCATCCAGAGTTAGAGTTAGAGGTAAAGTCAAAGCAAAAGGTAAAAGGGGTGACTAATTTTAGTGCTAAGATAATTGAAGCATTTAGAATACTTTCAGGGTAAAGAAAAGTTTATAAAACATGCAAAACAAGTTGCATAACCTTCAAAAATTGTTTTTTTTTTTTTCATTTCTAACCTATAATGCTAACATAACCTAAAACATATAACATATAAGTAGGTACCTATGGATAACATTAAAAGAGTTAAAATTATTTGTAATGTTTGTAGAAATTGAGGTACAGAAAAGTACATAAAACACGCAAAACAAGTTGCATAACCTCTAAAAAATATTTTTTTGCATTTATAACCTATAACCGTGTCATAACCAAATTCATATAACGTATAAAGATAATATTAAAGGTGTTAAAATTGTGTGTAATGTAACATTTTGTAATTTTACTGCGTGGGAATAACACGATGCGCAATCGACTGATAACAAACGCTTTTGTAAACGCAACCCTCCATCAACAGCGAGTGCGTCGAATGAAAGTCCTCCTTTGATTCAGGCGCGTTAATCAGTCGTTTTAATCAGCGAGCTCGTTGCGGCCGTAATTGCGCCGGTTATAATCCTGTTAAAATCCGAATTTATTATTTAACGGCGGCGGACTTAGAAAAAATCTCGACGTAGACCTTTTGTCCTCCTGCAAGCCATCCGCTCTCACACGTGCTGGGTAATAACTGCCTCTTTGAAATCCATTTTGTGCGCAGAGTAATTTATTTGAAGTCGGCCCTCCGCTTTATTCGCGCGTCGAAATAAATCTGCAGATTTGAATCTAATTAAAGTTTTTTTGCATTGCGCCCGTGGAAAAATGTTTAATCCCACGCATTTATCATACCGAAAGGGTTTTTTCCCTTGATGTGAATAGCGCTGTGTGTGGATTATAAAAAAAAGAGTTTTTTTGCGTTACGCAGCCGTGGATTCACAAATCAATCAAAATCATCAATGCATAAAATTACAATCAAAATAATCCTCCTCTTAAAACTCGCTTTCGGCGCGCTCGTCAAAATAAACATATAAAAATCGCATTACTTTATCGTAGAGTGCATTTTTTTCCTCTTTAATGTCCAGTATAATCAGTGATACGATTAAAATGTGAGTGTGTTTTGTTACGGCCGGATACAAAATGATTGTCCGATGTATTTTTCGGCGATAAATCTGCGAAATTTATGATGCTCTAGTCGTAGATGCCCGCATTACGAGCACGCATTACTCTTGCGACGTGAAATGTTAAAAGAGAAACAATTTGTGCGCGTTTGTAAATATGCGGCGCCCTCAACAGGAACAAAAAAAAAAGCAAACAGCGGAAAAGTGCGTATCAGCATGCGGCGCGCACGCTGTATCTCCGAGGCAAAATGTAAATAAATAAAATGCAGAAAAAAGGATTGGAGCACTGAAGTTTATATTGTCTTTTTCGTTCTCGGCTACGCAATAAAACTTTAATAAGATTAAAGTAGGCTCACCAAGCAACATCATCTACATACACATATCTTCAAGTAGAAAATTCGTATTATTTCTTTGGCCTGCGGCCAAATAAACAAACAACTTGCATAAACAACAAAAAAACAGAAATGTTTGCCTACAGAGACGAATTTTTTAATAGTTTGGCATCATCTTTATGTAGAGTGTTTCTGTTTCGGTTGTGAGTGAAGTAGCCAAAAACGTAATGAAGCAATCCAATAAACATAGTTCATTCGTGCGGTAATTAACCTCGCGCCGCGCTGTTTTTGCGCCTTTGTGCGCTAAACTCGACGTTTTAAAACTTTCGCGTGTAATAATACTCGTGCAGGCGTGCGCAACTCGACTGCGTTAAATTGCACAGCTAATCTAAACGAATTTGTATTCCTGGAGGACTCGCCAAAGTACGGCATAAATCAAGCGAATTAACTGAAACTCGTTGCGCGTTCCTCAGCGCATGCCAGCTAACATCTCGCGTCGCCCACTGGAGAATAGTGGATTGTGTATTGCAACTCGACAAAGCAAAGTTTGGTTCATAGAGGAAACTCGAGCGTAGAGAGTGGAGACGAATGCTTTGCAGCCTATCGCAAATTTTGCATTTTATTTACGAATATCACACAACGACAAATACTCCGGGGAGCTTGGAACAGCAGTAGTTTCATGAAAAATAATCGAGATTGCTGAATAAACGCCAAAAAATAAACAAATAAAAAATGTTTTGAATTTATTGTTTTCTGCCTTGAAAACAATCTAAAAATGAAAATTTTTATTATTAAACTAGTTTTTTTTTAGTTAGTCCCCCCAGATTTATATAAAAATTATATTATTTTTTATTTTATTGCTCAAGGCCTAGTATTTGTTTATTACGTCAATAAGATTCGCAATTTTATTTTTAAAAATAAACATTTCTATGATCTTTTTACTTTAGCGTCACCACTGATGGAATTATTAAACTATAACTATGATGAAATCTATATACTAATTTTTATCTTTTAATTTAACACTGTTTAAATAATTATTAGTAATATTTTATTTCTTATTATCTTCTTCCAAAGTAAGATGAATCAAAAATCACAAAAACCATAAAAATTAGTTCAGCAGTTCTTGAGTTTTAAATGGTGTAACTAACACAATTTTGTTTCCCACATAAATTCAGTACTTTTTCATACTAAAACAATTAAACAAATATTATCCATAGAATCTAAAGTTAACCCACTATTCAGTTTATTAATTCAGCAAAACCTTTGTTCGAAAAGCACTAATCTGGATCACAAACTAGGTCCGAGTTAACTATACAATGAATTGAAAGTTCTTACCATTTGCCGATGTCGAAAGGGCTCGTATATGCTGATACCGTAGTATGACCAAAGGTTTACGTCAAGACAAATGAATTGTTTTGATGGTTGTTTGGCGTAGGTACTCGTGCTCGTACATGTTGAATGTTTATTCACAAAGCAGCTACACACAGTCGCTGCGCAAATATCGACACAAGGTGCGGTCGCGCTTTAACTGCCTGATATCGATTCCCAATCTGCCGGTAGCATGCGTTTGTGATTGTACAGCCAGCCATCCAAATGTTTATTACAAAACCCAATTTCACAACGAAACGAAGAGAAATTTTTAATTAGTTCTATGTCCAGAATGATGAAAGCTCTGACATTTTCAAGTGCAACTCAATTAAGATTTGATGTAATTAGATTTGGTGCGCGTATTTTGTTGCGCAGCAAGTCAAAGCCGAAGTTAAAGCACAACAAATCTCTACGCGACGGCCTGTAGTTTCCTATCATGGCGACTGCTTCATTTCCTTGATCATTGTTTGCTGTTAGTGCTCGTTTTGTTTACTTGCTGCTTCAAGCAACCTTTCCGGTTACCGTTTCCTTAGATTTTCTAGAATAACATACACACACATAAAAATATCTTATAATCAAATGACCCTGTATAAAATACAGGATAATAAATAATTTTTTCTGCTTCCACCTATAAAGCGCCAGTTTTTCCACGGTTTTTAGACACAAAAGTGGAACTTTATATATGGATGGCCAAGCCGTACATAATATTCATTATGTACTTGCATTATGCACGGGACGGAGCAAGCGCCTGCGCATTTGCCTACGGAGAGGCACAAGGCGGTATGAAATGCCATGCGACGTCAATCAAACACGTCAAAGCTGGCGCTGCTGCTGCTCGTATCGGAAGGGCACGATATGAACCGAAGCATCACATGGGCCGACGCGGGGCATGGCACTTATAACCTTACAGTTTGTATAAGTGTGCGAGCAAATTTCGATGATTTAAAATACAAAAGTTGAAATACAAAACCGCTACGTGGAACCAGAGTGGAAGTAGAAAAAATAGCGTAAGCACCTCGTGGCTAAACGTTGTTATACTCTGGTTTAGCTACTTGTTCCTTAATATACTATAAAAACCCTCTTTTGACCTCTTTTGACACTAGTTGCCTAATAAACTACATAAGTTTATTATCATCCTAAAATAAACATCACTCAAATGTCAACTGAAATTTACTACGTTGATGATGTGTGAAAACTTACTGTCTGCGCAACATGCCCACGAGTGTAATTTGTAGATGTTACTGGTTTTGACCATCGTGACGAATACTTTGTGCAGGCTCGGGTTACATGCGGCCCATAGTGGGTCATGGTTGAAATCGGAACGATAATAGAGTGGTTGTGCACGCGCGCGCGACATCCGCACAACAACTTCGCGGGTAGAGTATAAAATATGATCCTAATCGTGTGCGTCCTGGATGCGCATCCAACGGCCGGCCGGTAATTATCATGTGATTGAGTGTGTCCATTTGGCAGGCCGTCGCGATGCTGATTTATTGCGCCATCCATCATGTCGCGAGTGCATCGTCGCATCGTCGAGCAAACTATTCGCACAATGCGCTTGGATTAATTACTTTATTCAATTTTTGTATAATAT